AAGATGGTTTATTATTAAAATGACATATAAAGCTCTGTTTGACACTTTGTATCACTGCAAACATCAAAGGTTTCATGTTTAGACCTTTTACCCTCGAACATTAATGAGAGGTGAGCTGCTCTCAATCGCAGCTTCCTCTACAGAACAAATGACATCTTTGCTGCCTTATAATGAACAGGCTACTACTACTAATAATACACATTATTATTGTTCTTGTTGTTTCTTTTTTTTAATATTTTCAAACTGTAAACAAAAACACCTTAAGCTCTAAAATGCTCAATAAGAAGGTGCAGGCTTTAACCTCCATCCATCCATTTTTTGGGGGGAGGGAACGGGTTGCCGTGGTAGCAGCAGAGAAACCCTGACGACCTTTTCACCAGTCACCTCCTCCAGCTCATCCAGGGAAACCCTGAAGTCTTCCCAGGTTGTCATGGTCCTGAGTCTGTTTTGTATTATTTATCCTTGCTCGTCTCTTGGTTTTGATTCCTAGCTCCTTCGTTCTTCCACGTTTCTTGTGTTCTAGTTCTTTGGTTCTGTGCTCCTTCTGTTCAGTGTGTAGTCATCCCTGCCCGTGGGTTCCCTCTGTTCTCTGTCAGTATCGTGTCTCTGAGTTCTGTGATTTCCTGTGTTGCTTCTGCTCTAAGTCCCCTCGTACTTCAGGTTTGTTGGTTCTGGTTCCTTGTTTCTTAATTTTCCCAGTTTAGGTTTCCTTTAGTTTCTGCACATGCCATCTCTGTTTCTGTTTGTATGGCCTTGTGATGGGGAAGAGCAGCGGCTCTACTTCTAAGAAACACGTCCACCATGCAGAGAAAGCTCATTTGCAGCAGGAACATTGATCGATCAGGTAAATCGACAGCTTCTCTCCTTACCGCGACACGTGCAGCGTCCACATGACTGGGATTCGTCTGTCAGTTTAAACATGTATTACAGTGTCTCCTATCTCATCTTATTGTACCTTACATGTTCTTATCTATCTTTGAAAATAACTTCTATCATTGTTTGATTATTGCAGTGAGTTTCTCCTCGCAGGCTGACAGCTCACATGGTCTGTGTCCTCCACCTTGTAGCCTGTTTGTCTTTTTCAAACTGAGCCACCAAGAGTCTGCCAGAGGAAACGACACTCAGCTCGTTATTTATTCTTTTTAAATTGCCGTCATTTCCGTGGAAATACTTTGGAAAGCTGTGCCTCCTCTGCTTTCCCCTTTGGACCTCAGTCACTGCTGTTCACATTTTCACAGTCAGACTTTCTCCTGATCTCTTGCCTTGGAGGTGCAGGCTGCTGGTTCAAGACCAGATTCTGATTCACTAACATACGGAGCGTGGCAAGAACAGAACAGGCTTCAGGTTTCATAAATGAGAGGCAGGTTTGCACAGGCTAAGAACATTTCCACTCAAATATTAGTGAATGAGGCCCAGGCTGCTGCAGGGAAGCTGCTGTGACTGTGAAACTATTTAAACATAAGCTGGAGCAAACACCATACATGGTTAATTACCTGCTTACAATGTACGATAATCTTCAAGACCTGGGCAGAAATCAACTGTGAGTAGAGCAGGACTCATCCCTGCATGAAAAATGATAGTTGCACTTGAATCATACGAAAACCTACTTGTAATATTCGATATGGTGTGAGGCTGTCCACTGTCCCTCTGTGCCAGCGACACCTCGGTGACCTCTCGTTACCTCCAAGAATGATACTTTGTGGATATATGATTAGTCAGTGCTTTGAGCATGGTCATTACGTGAGTCACTTCTTAATTACAGTGCTATTCCTTTTTAGTTAATATGATCATTTTTCTTCTGTCTGCAGTAAAAGGGTATACTGAGGATATTGCACTGTGCCAGCAGCGGCCAAGAGCTATGCAGGCATTAAAGTCAGAAAAGCTAAATGCTATGTTTTGTTAGCATGGTGGACATATTGTAGCTTTCACTGGGTTCTTTGTGTGCGACTGGTGTAAACAGTGGAAAGAGAGATCTGTGAGGAGCGGAGCTGGCAGAGAGCTCCTCATAAACATCACTACAGAGCACACAGCAGGCTCCACCTCTTCTCTCCTTTCCTTCTCACTTTCACATAACGGTCGCTGTGTCATTGCACAGTGGAAATGGGATGGACTCAAGTGTAGTTTCAAACCCGGAGGTTAGAGGTGCGGTGTAACAAAAAGAGTCTTTCTTCACAATGCTCAGAAGCTAACAGAAATCTCAGACTAGAATTAAGGAACATAAACTAGACGTCTGAGGCGAGAGAAAAACTATGACTATGACTAGATGGCAGGGATAACTGGGTGCAGGGACTGGGCAAAGCTTGCAGGTGGGGGTTGCTTGGAGGAGGAAGGCAGGAGAGGTCCAGGTGGGTGCTGCATGCAATGCAGGGAGGCAGGCAGGAGAGACTGGCAGTTCAAAAAGGTAGGTAGGTGGTAGGTGGGTTTCAGATGTAAAGTTGGCAGATAATCTGGCGAAGACCAGTTGAGTGCGCAGGTCATAAATACTGCCGGTATGATTGCCATCAGGTGAGGAACAACAAAGACTCCACCCAGCGGGGAGGAGCCGATGCCGTGGAAAACTACCCCCAGACCATGACACGCTGCTTCTCTCTCTGTCTCATGCTCCCACTTTGTTTCTCCCACCTCTCACCCAATGGTTGTTCCGAGCTTCTCAGAGCTGTGGCGTCTTGCTGTTTCTTAGTCACCACTTTTCCCTTCGGCCTTCTTTTCCTCCACCTAAGCCCCCTCTCTTCTGCTGCTCTGTTGTCCGTCTACAGGTGGAAAACATCCAGCAGATGCTCTGGCCGTAGCCCAGGGAGTTGCTTTCTTTATTACCACGCGCCTCTTTATCACGATCATCAGAAATACATTCGTGTGGTAGGACGGACTTCTCCAAGGGTTTGACATGTTTATCTTCCTCTAATGTGCGTTCAGGTGAGCTCTTTTAATCACACTGCTATTTCATTAAAACAGTTGTAGCATGAAAAAGAACAGATGGCTATTTAATTGTTGTCTCACTCAGTAATAATCGACCACATTTATATTAAATGCCATCTGGAAACAGACCACACGCACCATACTCTCCGTCCCAAACGTTTGTGCTGCTCAAAAGGAAAAAAGGAAAAAATCTGGCACTAAGTTTGTTGCTAAAGACGCAAATTAAAACATGGACTAAACAGCAGTCAAACTATTCACACAAACTTAGACAAAAACATGAGCTATCATGTGCCAAATGTTCCCTACACAACACAGAAACAAAGTGAGAAGCTTTGACAGTCGCTCGAGGCTGACTAAAGGAATCGGCTGAAACTGGCCTGCTGTTGGACTGATGATGAGAACTATGATCACAGTTAACTTAATCAAACCAATATGCATCCATTTCCATGGGCTCTACTTCAACTTTAATTCAAGTTAAAATAAAAAATAAATAAGATACAGAGGAAGCACACGGTGCTGGCCTACAGCAGAAAGACGTCTGTGGATGTGCACGCCACTCAAAAGCAGCCAAAGCTGAACCTGAGTCACGCTTGCTGCTATCCTTCTGTCACAAGTCTCCACCCACTCCACCCTGCCTGCACTTGTCTTTATCTCTGTTATGCACACATCATTGCTTTGGGTGATTGACCCCAAATATTTAAGCTGCACCCCTCCTTGCATCCTCACAGCTACACATGTCTCCCTCTCATTCACACTCGAATTCTGTTTTGCTGAATTCCATCCGTCCTCTCTCCAGAGCATACCTCCGCCTCTGCAGGCTTCCACCTGCTCTCGCTACAGATCTGCAGACATCATGGTTTACAGAGAATCCTGCCTGGCTTCTTCTGTCTATCAAAGAAGGATCTAATGTACTCTGCACTCACACATGTGCTGCACCAACCTGAAAGACTTCTATTGTTATGTACCCAGACTTGCCTCCCCGAAACACTGAGCACAACTCTTCCTTCTTCAACTTCCACCATTTAATCCTCGTCGTTGCCTTCACACGCTTCATCTTCTTGATTTGCAAACTCATTCTACAACCTACTACCTGATGCTGCCTAACTACACCCTGACATCACATTGCAACCTCATATCTCTTTCAAACTGCACCTTCTGCACAAGATATAATCTAAATGTGTGCACCATCTTCCAGTATCATTTGTCAGCCTGTGTTCCTCCCTCTTCTTCTTCTGTGTTCACCACAGCCATTTCTATAAGACACACACTATCTGTCCTTCTGCATTTGTCTCTTTAACACCATCTTTACCTCATCGTCTAAATGACATCCAACTTGTCGGGCATACACACTGACAGCATTTAACATCACACCTTCAATTTCCAGCTTCAAACTCACGATCACGTCTCTCTTCACCTCAAGACTGTTCAGATACTCTTCCTCCAACATTACTCCGTCTCTCTTCCTATCTGCACCATGGTGGAGTGTTTTGATGCTCTCGAGCTTACTTCCTTTCAGCCTAGTGAAGGACCTTGCACACACATATACCTTCCTTCTCTCCATCAAATCAGATCCTCTCCCTTTACCAGTTTTCCCACTGTCTCCAGACACACCTTCCCCCTTTCCTGTTCCTTTGTCTTCAGCCAACAGTGGCAGCAGAGGCAGATGTTGTTACCTGAGCCCTGACCAATCCTATATGGAGATCTCATTCTGGATAATCTGCACGTCTGATTCATTTTATGGACTTCTGAAAAATTAATCTAAAATGACTCTTCTCTTATTCTGGAATATAGTACGATAGCAATGAATATACCACATGTTTCTACATATACCTAACAAACATGTATTACTGCTACTGCCATCTCAATTAAAGCAGCTAGCATGCTTTAATTGAGATGGCAGTTTAACCACACCTTCTGTCCCCAACACAAAGTTGACACCAAGCTTTACTCTTCTGCCACTATTAGAAATGATCTACTTGTATTCCCTTAAATGCAGTTTCATCTCCCTCAGGCCAGAAACAGGTGCACACATGAGCAGAAACAGCTCTGAAATGACGAGCACAGCATCGTTTGGTTTTTCCTACCGTCTTTTCGGTAAAGGTTGATCTCCACCTTCCTCTCCTCCGACCCCAGGAGGGCCTGCGCCATCTGGGCGATAGCCAGTCGCTTGGTGTCAGGTCCATACAGGAAGTTGCACGCGCATGGCTTCTGCATGATCTCAGCCCTGGAGTAGCCACACATGTGGCAGAAGCCATCGTTACAGAAAATGATGGCGCAGTTCTCCACTCTGGCGTTGGCTATGATAAACTTGCGACCTGTGGGTGAAAGGACAAAGGTTTCTGCTCAGTTATTTACTTTTCACTAACACAGCAACACCAACTCAACATATGATCAAATGAATGGAAACAGGTAGCTCAGGTTAATCGCATTTATCCTAAATGAAAGCTACGGTGACCATATTTGGATTTCCAAAAAACACTTGGCCCAGAAAAACTTTAATCATGCTGTTTGCTTAAAGAAACTTTTAACATATTTAAATGATGCCTTCTCTGTGCGGTTAATGAATGGTGAAATAAAAAATGTCATATGCAACAGTGCAAAAAGATAACTTAAAAACCTCTGGGATTAAATAATGGTACCGAAATAAGGCCTCATCTGTAAAAGAACAAGTACCAGGATGGTACGAGGGAAATGTCTTTGACAGTTCGTCCGAAAAGCTGCAGTTGTGCTTTGACATCTTTTAAACATCATCAGCGCGCTGTCTGTCCCGTCTGTGAGCGCAGAACAACCACTCACAAAGCAGCAGCTCAGGGATGATGTCACACATGCTCTGTAGGAAAACCCAGACAGAACGTGAAAATGGACACGCCCGAGGAAAAGAGGACGGTTGGTCACCCTATGAACGCTCAGGAGGATTCAAATATTTCAAGGTGGAGGCTCGTTCCCGTTCACGTCTTGTTGACGCTCTAGCTAAGCAAGGTTTTTCAGCCAACGGCAGACTTCCCTGGCCCAGGTCGTTTTATCCAAATCTGTATCTTCATTGTAACAACATTCAAAAGCCACCAGAGGCAGCATTTCCACATTTTCTTCAGACTGCTTCTGCCCTGAATGACAAAAACCACTCAGACATTAAGCTAATATTAGCAGCTATTCTGTCCTTGCTTCTGTCAAACCGAATCTCCAAAGAGATTCAGATTTATTATAATTTTCAATTCTAATATTAATTGAAACAAAGAAAAACCTTTCAGCCTGCTGCTACCCAACAAACAGCACCACATGTTTTTTTGAGGGCACATGATTTTTGGCACTTCTGCTGCTAAAATAACACTAACATGCAATAGAAATTAAAGGTTGTTTGTAATTAGGTCCAAAACTTGACACGGCAGCCTCTTCTTCCACAGAGTGTCTCTCCTGTGAACCACTTACTGTAGAAGGAGCTCTTTTGCTCCCTGGCCTCTGCTCAGTGTCAAAATATGATATCAAGAGAGCTTTAAACACACTTTAAACAGACACTCAAACATGTTCCTTTACTCAGGACGCTGTTTCATATGCTGTGAATAAAAAGTGTCTTTAAGGTAAATCTCGAGCGTCTTTGGCTAACACAGGAAAACAACATAAATGAAAGAGTCTGAGTGGGAGTGTGTTTGTGCTGTGTTAGCCTGACAGTCTGCCAGTTTGATAGATGGCTTCCACTAAAGAGCATTAAGCTTCTGAGAATGTTCCTTGTTTCTTTCACTTAGCCCCACTGTGGGAAGAAGGAAAGAGAAAAGAAAGGATGAATATAACAGATGTAAAAAGATCACTGAGGAAGACTTTGGGGAGGAAGAATGAAAACAAATAGGACACAAGCATGAAACAGCTGAAATAATGAATGCAGGTATTTGGAGAAAGATCATGAGAGAGCGGGATTAGAAGAGAAGTGATCCCAACTGTTGTCTGACTGAAGCAATAACTCTGCATTAATCACGGTGACCACATCACATCATCGTCCCTGATTATTTCACAGTTTGACTTTAAATTCAGTTAAATCCAAGTCTTTATTTATTCTATTTAAATTGTTCCTGCAGAGATCTTCCTAAGTAAGCTGACTTTCTCTTAGGCTCCAAGAAGTCGAACACTAACTGCTGTTTTTAGCAAACAATTTCCCCTTTACGTAGGCCGCAGAGAGTCCTGATGAAACATTGGTGGCTGAAGAGCTGATGCCATTGTCTGTCATAATAAATGTGCAAAATCTTTTGTTTATTTTTAGCTTTCAGCAGCAGGTCACATTTTCTACGTTCCTCTGCAGTCACTCAGTGTCCTGACTGTTCCACCTGAAGACCAGAAACCTGACAGTCAGCAGGTCCTGATGCTGCCCGAGATGAAAATCCAGCACTGATATTACTCGGGAAGATTGTCATGTCAATAAAAACTCAATCAAAATATTTGCCAGTGATCAGGCTATTTTAAACGGGACTAAACTGTTTTATAATTAAGGTGTTCAGAACAGCATTTATTGTAATGTAAAAGTTGAATTATAATCATAATAATCCTGTGAGTCAGCCTGTGTGCTCATCTGAGGTAACTGGAATAAAAACTATTTATTATTTTTAAGTGGAAGCATTTAAGAATATAATCCTGTGGACAAACTGAATGTCTAGTTGCAGATGTTGTAAGCTACGGAGATTTTGTTATCAGGAAACACTGCTCATAACATTTACTGAAGAAGAAAGAAAAACACGGACTAAAGCCACAGATTGTGAATAAAACACAGAGGTCATAATTGACTAAATGAACATGACATCGTGTTCAGCTGGATTTGAAACTTCCAGATGAGACTGTTCGCTGCAAGGTATTTACTGATGTCACACAGACAGCATTTCAAAAAGTGGAGACCTGAGATTGAGACTTCTTAAAGAGTTTCTCTGTGACCATTATCTTCTTCTACAAAAATAACAGTCACTCGAGAGATCTCCAAACACATTTAAAAGCCATTAGAAAGGCAGCATTTCAAGCTAGACATGCCCGTTATAACGAGGAAAAAGGCCTTTAAGGGACAGAGAGCTATTTTTCAGGGGGAGGTTGCAGATGGGAGGTGTGCATCAGAGGACTTTTTATGAGAGCTTTGGATAAAGGAGAGTCGAGAAGGATTCGCTTCTTTGGGTGGCATAAATCATTTAAATTAAGGTAGCAAGATTTTTGCTGCCTGGCAGATTCTTATTTGTGGATCTGAAAAAGAAACGAACCAGTTTGACTTTTTTTGGTCATTTTTATTGTAGAGCTTCCTCATGAATGATAAATCTTCCCCAAGGACTTCAGGCTATGATAAGGGAAGAACACCGTATCGCTGCAGTGACAGACGTGACTCTTGTGATTAGTTTTTGGTCAGTGACTCACACGTCGGCCCACACTGTACCTAGAACTGGCCCAACTCCTAGGAAACTGCTTTTAATGCTACAAAATGTAATTTTGTACATGATGACAGTTTGTTTTGTTTTAGTGTAGAATGTGGACACAGAGCCACGTCTTTAATAATCACCACGTGAAAAAAGAGGCTGGGCAATAACCACAAAACACAAAAGTAAAAACTGAGGAAGACTAAACTTTGAGGCTCTAAATCTATGCCAGGGAAGACTAATGACGAGCAACATCCACCAGCTCCAGCCAAACGTCTTCACCTCGCTTACTGATCGTTGCCTTGTCAGGAAATGTTTGAGAGCCAAAGCTGGCTTTTCTGTCAGCCCAGGGAGCAACTTTCTGAGCTGTCTCAGTCAGTATTCACAGCCGGGCTCATCTGCGACTCAGCGCCAATATTTTGGGAGAAGGTAATGTGTCATACATTGTCCCTATGATGAATGAATGAATGAAATTAAACCCACGTCGGTGCACTGGGTCAATTTTTCTTTCTAAGTGTTCTTCATTAAACTTGATTATGAAAAAGTCCCAGGAGGAGAAGATGGTAGACGGTCATTATTCCCTGTAAATTACGTCTACGAAGAGGTTCACAGAGGGGAGTGTAGTAATTCCCTCTCAAATAGTGATTTATAAGTCATTTTATCATCACTGGCAAGACATGCATCTGCCACACCCGACATTTCTGCACATCACATTCCAATCCAGCTCTGCCCATCGATATCACGCCTCCTGTATCGGGCTCGAGTTCGTGGAATTAGTTTGCAGACTCATGAGTCATTGTTATTGGAAAATGTGTCCCTGTTTCAATTGTCGAGCTGTAACTTGCTTATGGGGATATGATTATTTTTGATTGAGTGCACATTTCAGTGTCTATGGGTGTTGTGTTTACTTTTCTGCACTGTGCAAACATATAAAAGTCCAGAAAGGAAAACAAACCAAACTTGAAGGAATATTCAATTCAATTTTAATTTTACAATATGTCAAATAACAAAACAGTCGCCTCAATGTGCTCTGTATTGTAAGGTAGACCCTACAATACAGAGAGAAAGCCAACAAGCACTTTGGCGACAGTGAGAAGGAAAAACTTCCTTTGAACAGGAAGAAACCTCCGGCTGAACCAGGCTCCGGGAGGGGCGGGGCCAACAGTTCATTCAAACAGCAAGTCAAACACACAAAACAACAAAAGGATATTTTTGACCACTAAATCGGAGAACTTTGTGACACAGAGCTCTCACACAACATCCACAAGGGTTTTTTTAAAGATAGTTAAAAATAAACAGTTTCTGTGCTGCAACACCTCCAATAAAGACGAGTAAACGCTCAATGATACGTCTTTACACTGATGGTCGAGCCTTTGTGGCAGTTGAACCCAAATAAGTGGCAGCAGATTTTTCAAACCTCCATCAGTCACGTCACAGTACAAGAATCAATACAATACAAATTTATCTGTATCCGGTTGTTCAGTCTGACGTCACTAGCCGTGTCTGGACCTAAACTCCGCTGCAGGTTGTAACGTTGGGTTGTGTTGTGTGGTTGAGAAGAGGCGGCAAAACACCTAGCAGGCTAGGCGGAAGAATACACACCCACGCTGGTATTGGGAATTCCACAGTGTGTTCTTTAATATACCTTCTCTTCATCAACCATATAAGCCCGGTTGAACGGCTGCAGCTTAGCAAACATAGCGCACAGTGTTCGTACAACGTTGCAAACAAAGATGTCTGGAGGGGTAAAACATAAAATCCGTCCCTCCTCATGCACTAGCGTGCAAGCACATGTCCTCACCATCACAGAGAGAGAGAGCAGAGCAGTGGCACAAACTGATGACACCATCAACCCTCGACTTGGGTGTCTTAAAGGGACACCACACCATAGTGGCTGTTACAAGGTCC